ATAATAAGTTTAACTGTGCGGCTCCCTTGGATAACTTTATGAAGTTCATAACCAATTTTGAGTAGAATATGATTCCCGATATCAAAAGCAATATCTGCAATGTACGACACAGTTGCGGCAATTTCCCCACGCCTCAATAGCGCCGCCATTCGGAGGGAGAGTGAACGTCATTCAGTCATTCACGCGGCTTCCGTTGTTCGATAAAAGTGTTTTATTGAAAATTCACTTTTAATAAGTACCTATCATTGGAATGGATAATCTACGAAGAGGTTATTTACACCGAACGCGGGTTAGAGACAATCTCAAAACGAAAGTAATACCTAAAATTTGAATTCACGGCTTTAGACGTTACGTTATTACGCGAGTAAGGTTTTTCGATAATTTAACATCACATTACACGTGCCTACATTAGCATATATGAGTTGTTAAAACTTGTGATTATGTATTTTTTATCCATTAGAAACTTTAATAAGTTTGAAAATAGTCTAAATTGTAAGACTTGAGATTTTCATATCACATAAGCAAAGCAATGAAATTCCTATGATACTATGAGTTTCTTACTACACCTTCAAAATACTAGAAATAAAAACTAAGTAGGAAGCAGTTAAAGCGTCTTAAGTAGTTATACTGCTTTTGAAGTTACCTACATTTTCTCTCAGAGCTCTCGCTGTGAATATAGGAAACCACAATTAAAATTATTACAATTACGAGAGTACTTTGTTCCATAGTATAAAATAACTAAGACTCATGGGCGAAATGTAGCCAGTTTTACGTTCTCTCGCTCATTTGAAGTGGTACGAAGGAACGCCATTAAATTGTATCATTTACTTAATATTTTTATACATTAATATGTATGCTTTATAGGTAAGATATACAAAATAAATGTATTGAGGCACGGATGCTGTTTTTTTTCGCTCTATATTTTTAACTTTATTTTTTATGGACTTAAGACGTAAGTACAGCACCACAACATTGTTTTATTTTGTTGCAAATAAATGCAAATAAAGATAACCAATTTATTTGTAAAAATGTTCAGTCAGTTATATCAGTCATACAGGTTTATGTAAGTGCTTTATCAAGTGTTCAAACATCCAAACGTATTCATGGAAATGATAGTTATATTGGACACACCTGGTCTCCATTATTCAGGATATCGTAGAAGCTTAGATGGTACTTATTCGACTATAATATCTTAAGTCCAGCAAATTGGAGCGTATTATGTTGTATCAGACTCGTATAATGGTATCGATGGTAAGGGATGGAAAAGGTTTAAAAACTTATAAAACGATGCAAGTAAGGTGCTGTTTGAAATGTATTTTCTACTGAAAACGGTTTAATGACAAATGTTGTTGAAATTCATGGAATCTTGGAATTGGTAGTAGGTAATATTCAGGCTGGCAGGCCGCTACCAACCAGGCAACATAGAAAGCATTGGAGGAGACCTAGCAGTGGACGTCCTATAGCTGAGATGATGATGATGATGATGATGATAATGATGATGAATATCCTTAAAATAGCCCTTTTTCCATAACACAAATTCACAATTTGTGTGTATCGTTATAGTATGTTTTTTAATACTCGCACTTATCCCTGAAAGTTATTATAGTTATTTCATCTAGCTTAAAAAGCAGCAGGTAAAGGCACCTGGCGTAAAAAACCGTAGTGACCCTACTTCTTTTTAAATATACTAGTGTTACTAGTGGGTACTATTTACCCTTTGAATTTTCTTTGTTTGTTCCATTTCAATTATTTTTCAACAGCTTCCATTACGCCCCGCCAGCCTCTGACACGGGTTGCGCAATAAAAGATTCCTGTGGGATGACTTTCGTCACATCTTCGGACCAGGAGTACGTGACTTGAAGACGAAGTGTGGGCTATGCTATTATGGTGAGAGGCATGGCGTGGCTATGGAAGTGACGTAACTGCGAATGATGTGGGCAGGTGACGGGCTTTGTCCTACGAAATTGAGGTATTTTTTACATACATATAGCCCACTTTTAGGCAGTAGAATTACACCCGTATTCACAAACGATGCTCGCGTAAGTGAAGCAGAAAATCGAACGCACAGCGATGAATAGATTGCGTTTATAGCTCTGTGATTAGTTCGTGTGTCACCCTGTGCGTCCACTCGCACTGTGAGACCTCATAGTAATGTTTGTGAGTCGGGCGTTAATAAAATCTTTTTTATTCTGAACAGACTAGACTACTGGACAGATTGTCACAGCGCGGACGTGCACCGGTTATCTAAACTACGTAAATTATATTAGTACGAAAATAAAAATATTGTCAGTCGCCATGTACCATCGGCAACAGTGTTAACTATCCATTGCCTGTCATGTCGGCTCGTTCTATCGCAAAGAATCGCCATTTGATGAGAGCGAGAGCAACAACGGAAATGGATAGTTAACAGTGTGGCCATGTGTACGTGCTTTATCATTTTTTCCGGGCCTCTAGACACCATCTGCTTTTTATTAGATTTTTTTTTGCATAAATGTAGCAATAACTTTTTTATTTACCAAATGTGTTAGTGGAAATGTAATCTGCAAAAAGTGCAATCTGAAGAATAAGTTAGAACCCTCTAACATAACGACTACTCTCCTACAGCTGCAATCGTATTGTGAAAAACAAAACCCTCCTTCTGGCGCAGTCGGGTAAAAATACACATGAGGGATGACTTTCGTCACATTCTGTGATTCCAGTAGAACGTGACATGAAGACATAGTTTTAGGGCTGACATGCTATTATGGTGACAGATAGACATGGGAATCTTTGCGAGTGATGTCAACAGATATTTTTACCTAGGTATAGCGTATTTTTGGTACTGATATCTCCTCAAAAACATAAAATAATATCATGATTTTGTTTTTTGTTAATGTTATACTTACTTGTTTTGTAATTATTACTAAGATATCTTTAAGTCGGCGAATTAAACAAAGCAGGTTTATTGTTAGAAAAATAAACGCCCGTATTCACAAACATTACTATGAGGTCTCACAGTGCGCGTGACACACGAACCAATCACAGAGCTCTATTCAAAGCTGTGCGTTCGAATTGCTGCTTCATTTAAGCAAGTATCGTTTGTGAATACGGGCGTAAATGTTGCCGTCAAGAAAATGAAAAACAACGCCATTCAATGTTACCAACACGGTATGACGTGAAAAATCAGCGCTATAAAACTAAGGGTGCTCAAAGATAATGTCCATTTTTATCCTTTCCACGAAGAGATAGGGCAAGAAAAAATAGAGGAGTATAAATCTCCAGGCCGATAGTGGGTTGAGGAGTAGCCCGTATGCAAAGATGGTCATGATAACATCTCAGGGGCTTAGAAGGAATTCGCTTCAATGGAGGGATGGTATTAAATTGATTCGAATGTTACTAACAATGTTTTTAAAGAAACGTGTACAGCGATAATAGAATTTAGTAATCTTGCCAACAAGGTACTAAATCATACTAAATTTTCTAGGTACTTATACTTTTAACGGTTTTCAGAAAACCAATATTTCACAGTACGAGTAAAGTAAGATTGAGCGATTTCAGTATTTGTCTAAATGGGACAAATACTGAAATCAACATTTTCTTTCAACTTTGGGACTCAATTAAAAAATTAATGAACTTTACTGGCGCTGAGCACCTATTGTTTTCTTTACATTTATATATTAAAAAAAGCGAAGCCCACACTCGGCCTCGTCGGCACGCGCACCGACGATCGCTAAACGGCTAGAGTACCTTCTGTACTCGCCACTCTGCCCGGTGAAGCTGGAAAAGCTCTTCAAGCTACCAGCGCGAGTCCCTTCAAAAAAAAAAACTACACTAACAGTTCATCATAACTACACTGACAATTATATTTTTGTACATAGGCGCTACTCGTAATAGAAAACGATAGGTTCTTTAATGATAACTATGAATGTCTTACATACTCGTAGCTTATAAAATGTGGAAATAAGAGTTTACTCTTTGAGTAGTTTTTCAATTAGTCGAAGACTCAGTCCATTTAACAAAGGTATAGTTTCCACATGTGTACCTGCTTGGGACATAAATCCTTCTAGCGATTTAATTTATTGCTTGCCCTCTTCGCAACTTTGTGTAAAAGAACTGATACGAAAATTAACTTCAAAGTGCTAAATAAAGGAAAATGGTCTCTTTGAGTACTACCCTCAGTTTGGATCGAACATAATTAAAGAAAGCTAGTATTGACACTGTAAAGAAGAAGTATTGGATCGCGTCCAAGGACCTAATTTTGCTCTTTCTTTTTACTTTGTACAATTATTTTTCCACTGTTTTTACGTTTGCTTTGGATTTACACCTTTTATATATAAATAGGCCTTTTACTATTTGATTAAATTAAAACATTGAATTCAATTAACTACGTATAATTATATTCGAACCTACATATTTTCGAAAATACACTTTTGGACTGAATCTTAAAATGAATCATGTAAAATATAAGGCAGATCTTTGATTGTTAGATTTTTAATAACTTTATTGATTCATGATTTGGAGGGGACGCCTTCCGCAATGAAAAAATTGACCAAAGTAATCTTGATAAAAAATAAAAGAACAAAAAATCTGTGTCAAAACTTTGAAAAATTGTCGAAAATGTTTTTGTCAGCTACAAAAATAATCCCGGTACGGCTGCCCGGATTCATTAGGGCGAAATAAAGAATGATGGGAACTTGTCGCCGGTTGAGGACGCGACAATGTAATCTTCCGCGTTGCTTTTACGCCTCTTTGGTGATTTATTTTTTTGTAAATGAGAAAAGAACGTTCACATGTTTCTTTTTTGTTTGCTTAAGTTTTAATTTAATAATAGAATAATCGGTTATTCTTTTGTTTATCAAGAGACTGAATAAAGCGTGCTACGGATACCGACTACGAAACAATCGCTACGTCGTAGTATCGTAGCTACTCCACTACGAGTCTACGGACTACTGTTCGTTACAACACTGCTACATTTTTGCAAGCAACTCAAGGTCAACCACTTACATTCAGTGTAGCTCATTTGCGGGCTTTCGGTCACCTGAAACAATCATTCAGAATCAATAACCTTTCCTATTATTTACTGTATCAACTTTGTGTGGTAGACCCTAATATAATGTATAATGTATCAGTTGAGAGCAGTTGTATTTTTCAATATGGTACTGGTACAGTCGAGTTCATAAATATATTGGCAGTGCCCAATGTTTCAAAACATTGTAGCGCAGTAGCGCAGTACTGCAACATGTTAATGTGATTACATTTTATTGATGTTTGAGTTTGTATTGAAATATATGATCGTTAAACGCTAGTAATATTTTTAAACATTGGCACTGCCAATATATTTTATGAACTCGACTGTACATAAAAATTACTGTAATAGGTGCTATTTTGCAAATTTTCAGATGTGATGTTAACTGTACATGTAGGTGTACTATTGGGTTATTTTAAGACTTCATCTGGGGCTCCTCAGGCCACAATAGAAGCGACTCTCGAGCGACAATGAACTCCAATCAGCATGGAGTATCCGTGTCAAGCACCACCACTCGTGAGCTGTCATTGACCGAACCGGAATCACAATACAGATTTGTTATGTTCCTATGTTGTATTTTTTCTCTTACCCGTCTATAGAAAATGACATTTTGTGAGCTTGAACTTGATCAGTGTGCTTACAATGAGTTTAAGTTAGGTGTGCTTGCTAGCGAGTACGTCAAAAAAATCTATGAAGATTTCATAGAAGATTTTAGAAGCTAGGGGCGCTGCACAATATGTCATACATTTAATGTCAGTTTTTTACACAGTCGCTAGCGAGCACATATAACGTAAACTGAGGTTTATCCTTAACTAGCTGTGCCCGCGACTTCGTACGCGTGAAAATAGTTTGAATAACAACCAGCCCATATTGGCTGTAGGGTGATGTTAATTAGCCTAAAGCTCGATAAATGAGCTATCCAACACAAAAATATATATATTTTAAATCGTACCAGTAGTTCTTGAGATTAGCACGTTCAAGCAAACAAACTTTTCAGCTTTATAATTTTAATATAGAATTATTGTTTTCTTAAATAAGTTCACTGAAATTACCAGGTATTGTGTGTTATATCTTATAAAATTTATAGTTTTTATTAGCGCAAAATAAAGATGTTTTTATAACATTAATAGAAGTTATGAGAGGTTTCTGCTATTATTACTATGAGTAAGTGTGTGTCCATTATAGGATTTAAGGAGTCTGGTAGTTTAATATAAAAAGTTATGAGTTCAGAACTCTCGACTATAATGCTGTAATAATTCGGATAGTTACGAGTAGCTCTACTGCATTAAAGCCTATAAAGTTTTATTGCAAAGAGTATTTATATAATTTTTCATCAAATATAATATGAAAGTCTACTAAATTTCTCAATCACATAATAGTGAAATAAATGTAAGATTTTTAGATTATTTTATTAAACTCATACACTGCCCGTTAACAGTTTCGTCATACTCATGCGGCGTAACTTGGTACTTACAATACGTTTTAATTACACTTTTTCATCAATGTTCTCTAATCACGGCCGTTTGTAGACATCCGTTTATTTACTGGAAGACGGACAGTCAAAAAACAGATATCCTTTGTTTTCTCGCCGGACCGAGAAATTCCGATGCATGTACATTGTACACACGTTCATTATATACCATACACCATCGCTGTATCGGGTGAAAAAATCGGGCCGTAATCCGATAAAAAACTGATGTTTACAAGCGGCCTTACTGTTCATGTGTAAAAAGACGAATTTAATTAAGTCTCAATGATTATTATCAAAGATTTACTGTAGACTGTTACAAATTAACGAGAAATAAGTCAATAACCAATTTTCTAAAAATAAAAGCACTCTGGAAGATCAAATCGAATTCTGTGTATTGAAACAAAGCTTTTGGTAACAAAGGCACTCGTCTTCGAACAAAAAATATTCGTCTCATAATCTCCTTTGTATTTAAAAATAAAAGTTTCACGATACTCGACGACCGGCGCTGTGCGCTGTAATTGGCGGGCGGAGTGTGCTCTCGGCCCAAAGTCGCTTGACACAGATCCAGTCCAACTCGGACTGGAAATGTTTATTTCGGATAATTTTCTGTCGCGCGAATTTGAGCTCAGAGAGCACACTTATTACCACTGCCTTCTGTTTTGGTAACAAGTGTCGCGAACAAAGTGTAGCTCCAAACAATCGCGGTTAGAAAACATGTTTCAATTTGTGCTGGAATCAGAACATTGTTCTGTTTTGAATTAATTCAGCGTGAAATGAGATATTAGACCCGGCCACGCATGATTTCAGTAATTTGTATTGGTTAATCTTTTAATTGTGGATGTAGGTTGTATTTGTGTAAGCTTTGACAATAATTTGTACTTATTACTCGTACTTATGTAGGGATGCTCAAATCTGGATTTAATTACGTAAACTCAAGTAAGTAATTCAAGATTTCAATTTCAAATAATCACAGATCTGAAGTTTTCTTGAGTATACTAAACATTAGAGTAGAAAGAGAGTAGAGAAAGTAGAGTCGTACGATAATTTAAATATCTAAGAGTAAATGTAAATAACAACGTTTCACTTGCTCCATGTACTCGATTTCAGTAGAAACGTACGTCGTCTACGTTTATCATTGCAAAGCTAAATCGCTTCGAGGTAGACTGCCCCGCAAAACACAGTTCCTTTAAAGCCCTCTTGAACCGCTTGCGAGAGATGCATGCAAAACGCATGATGCATATTTTATTTCCATGCACGGAGCGTTGCAAATTGAATTTTCTAAGACTGAAGCGTTTCAGTCATAAAATAGATAATAACAGAAGACCTGTATGTATATACTTCATTTTGCATACGCACGTTTTAAGCGGGCGGCTTTCGCGCTCGCACTGGTTTAGAGTGGTTTGCGATCATTGACGACATCGTGTCCGTGAGCGTTGTCTATGTGTGCGTTGCCCGAGCACTTTGTATGTAGATTGCCTTCTGCTCCTATCTATTTTGTGTTTCAGTGAAGAGTAAGCAATCAGCTCGAGTCGCGGTATAAACTGGATGTCACGGCGTGAGACTTAAGTAACTCTTTGGCTTTGTGCTTTGGTTCAAGCCAATTTGAGGTTAAGCTTCGTGTCTAGCTGGGGATCGGATTAGGGCTAGAAAAATATGTATGCTTTTCTTTGTTAGAAACCGTGAAAATCTTAGCTAATATTTAACATACATAGATACTTATAAAGTTAAGATGTGGGAACGAGTTCGCATCTCGCTGAGGGAGGGCAAATTAGTATGATGCACTTGACCATTAGTCGCAGTAAACCTTATGTATGAGTAGGTAATACGTAGTAATTATATCTTTATATTAAGTTATTTGGTCCGTCATTTAGTCGTCATAACCGTTTTCAATTTTCGCTGAAAATCTTTTATAATAATGGAAGATAGTTCTACTCATTTGATTTAATCAGGAAATATGAATCTTGCTGTGAAGATATTGTTTTAAAACGCAAAATCACAATTAGCACAAGTCTTGGAATTTAGCACAGTTTAGTTTAATTTAGTTAGAAACCACAATCTAATTAGCACAAGTATTCCTCAGTGAGATGATTCCAGCAGTACCAATTTTCTGTTGGTTTGGTTTCACTTCTGTCTTCTTAAAGCAAGAACAATTGCCTATAAAGATCAAACACGTTTCACCGTATCATAGCATAGCGTAACAAACTTGAATCTTGCCAATCTTTCCGATACCAAAGTTGCCGAAAGAAAGTTTCCTGGGCGAATTTATGAAGTTAAATTGAAAGTGAGCACACTCGACGGCGATTGATGGGCAGGTCATATGAGATTGCACTTCAGCGGTTAGCTTACTTTGAGTGTGCAGGGAAAATGACAAGTCTTTATCGATATAATTAAAGACTAATTGTGATGTAATATTGTCATGAAAATTGAAAATTATCGATGTTATTATGTACTTACACCTTCCTAGTAATTGCGTTTGCTAGTCTAGTTAATAGATATAATAAGGGTTCAATGAAAATTTTTATTACATTTAAACAAAAATAAAAAAAATAACATTCGAAAACCCCATATAAATATACGAAGGATTGAGCTAAACAGTATCTTTTCATGTGGAACCACAAAGTATGCATCCCCGAGCCTAATATCGTATTATTATGATAATGCCAACACAAAGGCATGTAGTCGATAAAAGCGCGTCGAAGCAAGGAAATCTCCTCTTTATTCTGATTTCATTCGACTCTACCATAGACATAGAGTTTATCGATAAAACTACCGGGCCGCGCTACGGCCATTTTTCACACGACGACATTTACGTGCCAAGTCCACATTCTCTTTACAATTAATGTAGCCGCAGTAGGCCTTCTTCAAATTGGATCTATGGTAAAATAAAACGACACGGACCCTAACGTGACATTTATGGCTGAGTTACATTATGTACCTACTCACGGCTTGACGTTTCGGCTGCTATACTGCAACCGTGGTCACAAGCTGCTCACAAGTTTCAAAATCTTAGATAACTATGATACTGGTTACTTTCACATTATTGCCTTAATAGTCAAACCTTCATTTACTAAGCAGATATTGTATTGTAGCGATTGGATCATAAATAAACACACTGATATCGATGTACTCGTACCTACTTAACTCCTATATGAATATTAACATACTGTGTGAATAATACCTACTTAGATTAGAAATTCAATGACCCCTGAAGTAAATGACATTAATACTTGCCCCCAATGTGATGTGAAGCTTCAGCAGTATAGCTGGCTTTCTTTATAGTCCAGTTTGTGAATTAAATGGATTGAATTGAATTTGCAAACCATTTCCAATATCTCGTATATAGATGAACCAGTTCATAGAAAAAACCCGATTAATTTATGGTTACAGTTCGATTTAATAAGGTTTCCACAAAGACCTGACCACGGTAAGAGTTACTTGGAAGATCATTGTGTAGCTAACAAAAGAGGATCCTAAAAACGTGTGTTTATGAACTCATCACCTGTTGATTCCTTAATGGGTGTCGTGATTACTACATCTTCTT